AAATGAATGATCAGAAGGAACTGAAAGACCTAGCAAAACCTGGAAGCAGAAAGTGAAATAGCGGAGCAAAATAACAGAGTCCAACAGCTCCTTAAATACTAACCAAATTTATTCCTGCCTAAGCGTTCTTTGAGTCAGAGATCACTTCATCAAATGCAACAGAGCGCACATCCATTAGGTAGATGCACCTGATGAAAGGAGCTCTGACTCATGAAAGCTTATGATGGAATAAAGTCTGTAAGACTTTAAAGGTGCCACTGGATTCTTCTTTCATTTTCTTACTACTGACTTAACAGGGCTACTTGAAAGTCATTTTGTATATTACTGGCACCTAAGCACTATCACTGCAGGGGGGAAATAGAAGCAACCTAGCTAAACTGTATACACTCTATAGACTAACAACTTTTCAAGCAAGGAGCCACAGGGGAAAGAAACTGCTGGGAGAGAAAAAAATCTCACCAAGAAGCAGAGGTCATTTCGGGGGGGAACGCGGGGGAATGCAGTTCCCCCGGGTGAGGTACAGGGGGGCGGGGCACATGACGAAGCCCCGCCCCCTGCTTCCGGCCCTCATTCAGCCAGGAGGAGGCAGGAGAAGAGGGAGGGTAAGTTGCTTCCTCCCTGCCTCTCCCCACCCCTGCCTGCCTGCCTGGGGCCAGGGGGGGTCTTCGTGGGGCTTCCTTGCACTCCCGCCGGCCTTGCAGGTCCACCGCCGGGCCCCTCATGGGGCTCGGCAGTGGAGCTGCAAGGCTGGCGGTGGCCAGGACCGTTGGGAGTGGGGTGTGTGGCCTTATGACACACTTCCGGTGATGTCAGGGAGTGTGGCATATGCTAATGAGTTATGCTAATGAGTTCCCCTAGCTCTTTTTCTACGAAATGACCCCTGCCAAGAAGGTTCCCAATCGATGGTACAGCAGTGGCAGTGGCAGCGGAAAGGGCATGCTGAGGCCAAGCTGTGACTGGGGTGGGGGGAGACCTGGCACCAAAAATCTAGTTCCAGAAGTTTCCAAATCCTAGCTCTGCAGAGACAAAAATCCCACCCATGTGAAGCACAGAGACCACAAAGGAGGATTTCTGAGGTCCCAATCAGACAGGTTTTTAGATCCTCGCCAAGTACAAGTGCCTGGCGGATTTAAAGGTCATGACCAGACAGCAACATCTGGGAAATGTGCCTGTTCCGTGAGCATCCCGTTTCGCCGCACTTCAGAGCCGTACTTAAAAGATACTAGTTAAAATCTGGAGTTTCCGCTTCCTGATGGGCCAATTGCGGACTTGCCCCCGTCTGATCATTCCAGTGTGCAATCCTCCCGTCGGGATGGTTTGATGTCAGACTATCCCAAGCGGGCACCATTTAAAAAAATTCTTCGCAATATGCGCATAAACGTGTAAACACGCGACAGTCGCAGAGCTCTGCTGAAACGTTCCGGACAATTTCATGTTTCTAAATGGACCGTGAATTTTATGAACTGCATTAATTAAAAACGTACCTAGAGAGAGGTACCACTGGCGGTGCTTTAATCATTCAACTGCACATGTGCAGAAAAGCAAGTACACATTGAGGCGCAGATGCGCATGCGCAAACAGAATTTTTTTTAAAAAAAAAAAACCCCGACCGCACGACTCCTTCAGGTGGATGCCATCTAGACAATCCACCACAGAGTACTTGCGCGGTAAGGGGAGCTGTCTGGTCGTGCAATGCCGGATTTAAAAGATCGGGATCGAATTAGAGCCGGGCCAGTTGTGGTATTAGTTGCCCGTCTGAACACACCCTAATACCACCAAGTTCTACCTCGGAAACCAGACCAAGTAATCCGAAACTGCAAAATCCAGGGAGAAGTCCAGTGCAGGAGGATTTTGGAGGCACCACTAAAAGAGGAACAACATGGCCATTAATAAACAGAGCGCCATGGCAGTTGGCTCCCCCTCTGGAACAATGGGCCTACTGAAAGTGTCAGCAAGTTGTTTGCCAGCAGGGGATGTGCTAGCCAGTGTTCACTTCACTGAGTGTTTCACACGCACCCCGCCAAGGAAATGTGCCGTAAAAGGGCTCTTTTTGTAGCAGGGACTCCTTTGCATATTAGGTGACACACCCCTAATGTAGCCAGTCCTCCAGGAGCTTACAGTAGCCCCTGTAAGAAGAGCTTTGTAAGCTCTTGGAGGATTGGCTGCATTAGGGGTGTGTCACCTAACATGCAAGGGAGTTCCTCCTTCAAAAAGAGCCCTGCGTAAAAGTGTTTCAAGTTGGCTGGATCATACTTGGCTTGGCGAAGACCTACAGCAAGGGTCTCCAACATGGTGCCCATGGGCGGCATAGCGCCCACTGACACCTTTTCTGGCACCCAGCAAGTGTTTTTAGGAAATGGGCAGGGCCAGGTAGAGCTTCGGCCCAGCAAGGCTTTTGATTAGCTATTGAAGATTTGACCGGCTCTGCAGATTTTTTAAAATGTTGCTTTGGAATCAGCTGCCGCCACAGTACAGGGGTTTTCATTGTGTGGCTGAAGGAGAGCTGTGGCAATCGTGTCTGGCTCTGCCTCCCGTGGCAACCATTTTTTGAGGAGAAGAAGAAGAGAAGAAGATATTGGATCTATACCCCGCCCTTCACTACCCAAAGGTGTCTCAGAGCGGCTTACAGTCTCCTTTTCCCTCCCCTCCCCACAACAGACACCTTGTGAGGTAGGTGGGGCTCAGAGAGCTCTTTTGAGGACTGCTCTTGAGAGAACAGCTCTGAAAGAACTTGTAACTGACCCAAGGTCACACCAGCAGCTGCACGTGGAGGAGCAGGGAATCAAACCTGGTTTTCCCAGATTAGAGTCTGCACTCCTAACCACTACACCAGGCTGGCTCCCTGACCTACGGTCTCACAATGTCTTACTATCTTCCTGTCACTGAAACAGTTGATGGCCTGATGATTCCTAAACTGGAACATCAAAAAGGTGGGCTACCTGAGTGCGCCTCCATCCCCAAATTCTCATGTGTCAGCTCTTTCCCCTGTCTGCACTGCCATCTCGGCCACCTGAACCCAGACTGCCGCAGGCCCTCTGGGTCGGAGCTCTGCACCATTTCAGTGTCCTGTACAGTGCCAAGCCTGCACCCGCAAACCAGCACGGAGGAGTCCCAAGAGGAGGCGGCTCCGGCAGGGAAGAGGTTAAACGCCTCCCTCTGTCGAAAGGAAGGAAGGAAGGAAGGAAGAGAGGAAGTCTGATGAGCAAAGTGCAGAGCCGGAATGATCTTACTCATGCCTGCCGCTGCCTTTGATCTGGGCGTCCTTGGAGAGAGAGAGCGTGTGCAAGCAGGTACCTGCCAGGATTGCTCCAGCGGGGCTCGCAATTACAGAGCCTGCCTCAAGCTGGGTTCAGAGGTCAGAGCCAGAGTTTCCCAGCTGTAAGATCAAAGGCGGCAAAGCTCTCTGAGCCTCTGGGGCTGCCCTCAGAGGAGCGCCGCCGCCACCATTGCAAAAGGAGAGGGCTCCAGCTTGCCGTCAAGATGTGGGCCTTGGCCTCAGAGCCTGGCCATCTCTCCGCCAGTTTCTGAGAATCCCACACAAGGAGAGTCAAACGCTCCTCCGCTGCCCTGAATATCTCCACTCCCCGTTTTCCCCATTTGATCTATCTTTAAAAAAGGGGCAGAGAGTGGCAGATTCGTTCTAAAGAGATTGCAAAAGGGAACTGGTTAAGATCCTGCATACCGCAGCCCTTCGAGGCTCATCTCCAACAACGCCGGCTTGCAATACCTTAGAGCTCAGCTATCTGGTAACGGGTGGCCAACTCTGGCCTGGGAAATTCCTGGAGATTTGGAGGCGGTGCCTCTGAAGGGGGAAACTGGAGGACCAATTGCCTCTAGAATCTCTGGTATACCATTGAGTCTGTCCTCTGAAGCAACCATTTGCCGCAGGGGAACGGATCTCTGGTCTGGAGATCAGGAGTAATTCTGGAAGAGCTCCAGGCCCCACCTGGAGGTTGGTAACCTTACTGGTAATGTTAGCTGCTCAGAGGCCGGCCACGCTAGTTCTGCAGTTCACACGACTTTGCGAAACCAGTTGCTCACAAGCCTGACCACCCCCCTTTGAATCAAAAGGCACGTGAACACGCAGCCGAACAGGAGACGCTGCTTTGGGCCACCACCCAAACGTTGGGTGTCATGATGCAGGGCAATCAGTTTCATGAAGGATCTGAGCTCCATTGCAAAATGAAAGGTAATTAGCACTCTCCTTTGATCTGACAAACCCGACTCTTCCACCCGGCCGAGAAGAAACAAGCCACCCTCCAAAGAAGCAGAAGAGCACCCCTGCGGCGGATGCTTACTCATGTCTGAGTTGGATTTTCTGGCAAGGAACCCTTCGAAGCCAGCAGGCCCAATGTTCCCGCAAAGGAAGCCTGTTCAGGGCCTCCCGCAAGGACTTCTTGGAGGAAGCGAGTCCCTCTTCAGCAAGGCGATCCCAGGACTCTCCCAACGATTTGGTGAAACTCTGTTCCCGGCCACCAGGGCATAGCCCGACACAAACACATCTTCCAATAGGTCAATTTCAAATCCAAATGATTGAGAATTTGACCGGGATATTTTCCAAAATGGGAGGCAGGGGATTTGGCCCCAGAGCTTCACACACATACCTTATTGGCCAGTGACAGACAAGGGTGGAGATCCCGGTCGGGACGTTCCAGTTTGACGATGGAGACAAACCCTGGGACGGTGTGCTCGTCTTCGCTGGTGTTGCACAGAGACAGGGGGTGGAACTGGGGAGAGAAAGGAAGAGCTCAGCTCAGAGAGGCATCTGCATTAAAATACACACTGAAGGAAACCAAATTTGCAGTCTCGTGGGGCTGTTGCTGTGGCTTTGTCGGTTTTTGATCAAACACTTCTTCGGACCGGATGGTACAACAACATGGATTATTTGTTCAGAAGGGTCTGCGTCTAAGCCACGCCACTGTAAATGCAAGCTTAATAAAATGTTGGAAACTATCATACTCCAGGCCGGTTCCAGGTTTTTTTTGGGGGGGGGGCCTGGGCAGAGCGTTCCCAGGATTCCTCCATCTTCTGCCTATCACCAACTTCCCTGTCCGTGCCTTCATTCCCCCCCACCTGCATGCCTCCCACTTGCCTGTGTCTTCTTCCATTACCTGCTCACAAAGCGGTCCCACCACCCATGCTCACGGCTGCCTGCAGCCCTTTCCCTAGTGGCCCTGGGCAGTGCTTGCAACAGGGTGCACAAGTAGTGCAGCGCTAATAAGTGATTATGCCGGGGACATCAGCAGCAGTGGGCCCTGCTAGAGCCTGTGGGCCCTGGAAGCTGCCCCATCTTACGGCATGCTGACAGCGGCCCCCTGATCACTTTGGATCCGGACCCCGGTCCATCTCACAGTACAAGAACCCGTGGGCACTCCATGAAATTGCTGCGCTGTTTAGTTATGAGTTAGAATGGATAAAAGGAAGTACTTCTTCACCCGAAGAGTGATTAACACATGGAATTCACTGCACACAGGAGGTGGCAGCGGCTACAAGCATGGACAGCTTCAAGAGGGAATTAGATAAACATCTGGAGCAGAGGTCCATCAGTGGCTATTAGCCACTAGGTATAGACAGCAAAGAAGACAAAGGTCAAAGAAGATGGGGACGGCAAAGGATGAGATGGTTAGACAGTGTCATAGATGCAACGAACATGAAATTGAGTGAACTTCAGAGGACAGCAGAAGACAGGAGGGCCTGGCGGGAGCTGGTCCATGGGGTCGCGAAGAGTCGGACTTGACTGTGCAACTGAACAACAACATAGATAGGAACTCTCAGTCTGGGGCAAGGGATGCTCTGTATTCTTGGTGCTTGGGGGGGACCAGTGGGAGGGGGCTTCTTGTGTCCTGGCCCCACTGCTGGACCTCCTGATGGCACCTGGTGTTTTTGGCCACGGTGTGACAGAGTGTTGGGACAAGATGGGCCATTGGCCTGATCCAACATTGGCTTCTCTTATGTTCTTAGCTTAGCATTTGGGCAATCAGGAGTGGGCAGGTAAATGCTAGAGAGACCTTCAATAGGGTTGCCAGCCTCAGCATGGGGGCTGGAGTTTTCATGGGATTACAGCCGAGCTGCAGTCTACAGAGAGCAGTTCCCCTGCAGGAAACGGCAGCGTTGGAGGGTGGACTCTATGGCATCACATATCCGCAGAGCTCCCACCCATCTCTAAACCCTCCAGGCTCTGAACTCTGAACCTTCAGGCTCCACTCCCAAATCTCCAGGAATTTCCCAATGTGGAGTTGGCAAGCTTGCCTCCAAAGGTCAGGGTGGGCCTACTTATTTTACGAGCAGCTTGGCCAGCAACTGTGTGATTAAGCGTTGGTATGGAAAAGGGATCTCTTTTGCCTGCTAATATCTTCTCTGGAGACCTTGCTGTGGCTTATCTGACTGTTTAAGGCAGAGATGTCGAACTCATTTATTACGAGGGCTGGATCTGACATAAATGTCACTTTGCCCGGCTGGGCCATGTGTGCCATAAAACGTAATGTCAGGTACCAGAGATATAAACTGTATAAAGGACAGCAGCTGGTAAACTCCAAGTTGGGCTGGGGTATGTGTGCGAAGGAAAGCAGACCAGAGAGCCAGCGGAGCAGCACTAGGCAGACCCTCCCACACTGCTTGACTGCTACAGATGAGGTTGTTCCGCCATGCTGAAGCCACAATCTGAGTGGCTCTGCCCACTCCCCCCCCAAGCAGTCTCCTGTTCCCTCCCTTGCATTAGTTGCTCACAGGCTGCATAAGAGCCCTGGACAGGCCAGTTCCGGCCCCTGGGCCTTATGTTTGACACCCCTGGTGGGTGGCAAACCGAAACAGGGCAACCTCTGTTGTGGCACCTTGACTCAGAAATGGCCTGCCTTCAACGGGTGTCTTAATGCCTAGCTTGTAAAGCATCACGCACCTTTTCTTATTTTCCCAAGCATTCTGTTTAGTTTTTCTTTTCAGTGCTCCGTCTTTTAAGTCTGCTGATATTTCATTATTTTTTAAAAAACACATTATTCCTTGGAGTGTTTTTGTTTTAATTTTCCGCTGTGCTTTCATGGTCCAAAACGCTGTTCTAAGAGGAAACAATGCAGCCTGTGGCGGTTAATCTTTTCTACTGGTTCTTATCTGCTTATTTTTTTTTTTTTAAGGTGATTGTATGCTTTTTCAATTCTTGTTGAGAGCTGCCTTTTTAACAAAGAATGCTGATCACACAGCCAGTGTTTTAAATAAAGTACAAAACCGAGTGAAGGCAAAGTAGAAGAGACCAAAAGATTAGGCGTCTCCAGCATAAAGAGGACAGTGAACAGGTTTGGGATAGGGCAAGGGAAAAGATAGAGCTCTCACAGAGAATTCCCCGGTGCTGGAGTTCCTTCCCGGCAAATGCATTTTTTGTGATTGGACTGCCTGGCCCATTTTGCATCATCTTAAATCGGCCTGGCAAATGAAGTCCTTCAAACCTTTGCTTGTCCACAGCATCTCTGCCCTATCCTGGCTCCTCACATGTGCACCGAATAAGATTGTCAGCTCTGGGTCGGGAAATAGATGGAGATTTTTTTTGGGGGGGGAGAGTCTACAGCGGGCAGGGTTTGCGGAGGGGAGAGACTTCAGTGGGGGTACAATGCCACAGAGTCCACCTTCCAAAGTGGACATTTTCTCCAGGTGGACTGATCTCGGTCACCTGGAGATCAGTTGCAATCCCAGGAGAGCTCCGGACCAGTGTTCCCTCTCAGCTGAGTTACTGTGAGCTAGCTCACAGTTTTTTAGCCTCTGGCCCACAGATTTTTGTCTTCGCTCAGGAAGGAGGGCTCCAGAGCGAACTAACTCATGCAGCAGCCAAATCGCTCGCTCACAACTTTAATGCCAGGAGCTCACCAAGTCGAATTTTTGCTCAGAGGACTCCATAGCTTAGAAGGAGCCTTGCTCCGGTCACCACCTGGAAGTTCGCAGCCCTCACACTGAAAGCCTGGAAAGATAAAGATGGTTTACTGTCTTCCAGTTTACAAAAGCAACCAGGCAAGCAGCTATTTGCAAGCACCAGGGTTGGTTCCAGGTTCCAGGGGCCCCGGGCAAAGAGTGCCCAGGGGCTTTCTGTACTGCTCTGACCCCCACCGGGACCTCCACTCCTGCTTTGCTTCCAGCCCACCCACTGACTGTATGTCCTTTCCCCAGTGTGCTGGGTGGTGTGTGCAGACAGAATAGGGTTGCCAGCCTCCAGGGGGTGGCTGGAGATCTGGGATCAGAACTAATCTCCAGGCAACAGAAATAAACTCATGGAAGGTTGACTCTATGGCATTGTACCCCATTAAAGTCCCTCCCCTCCCCAAACCCCACCTTCCTCAGGCTCCACCCCCAAAACATGACGAAGCCCCGCCCCCTGCTTCCGGCCGCCCCACTTCCGGCCCTCATTCAGCCAGGAGGAGGCAGGAGAAGAGGGAGGGTAAGTTGCTTTCTCCCCGCCTCTCCCCACCCCTACCTGCCTGGGGCCAGGGAGGGCCTTGGCAGGGCTTCCTCGCACTCCTGCCGGCCTTGCAGGTCCACCGCCGGGCCCCTGATGTCAAGGGGTGTGGCATATGCTAATGAGTTATGCTAATAAGTTCCCCTAACTCTTTTTCTACAAAACGACCCCTGTTAGGGAGGGGAGGGACTTCAGTGGGGTCTAATGCCATAGAGTCCACCTTCCACAGCTGCCATTTTCTCCAGGTGAACTGATCACTGTCGCCTGGAGATCAGTTGTTATCCCAGGAGATCTCCACCTGGAGGTTGAAGCCAAAAATGAGAGGAGGTTAGCAACCCTAGCCCCACTATGCACTACCTGGGTTCTGAAATTCTTGGAGCTTTGGGGGTAAAGCCTGGGGAGGGCAGGGTTTGAGGAGAAGAAGGAGTGTGGTGCCATAGATTCCACCCTCTGAAGCGGCCATTTTCTCCAACAGAATTGATTTCTTGAGTCAACAGATCCGTTGTCATTTGGGAGGTCCACAGGCCCCACCTGTAGGTTGGCAACCCGAGCCCAGTGTCAGTCCACCTGTGATACGATGGCCTTGGGATGCAGGAATGACTATTATTACATCATTCATTTATATTCCCCTGTTCTCACAAAGGCTCAGGGTGGATTGCATGTTTTTAAATGAAAATCCAAAAATGGACACAATATGAAAACTACCTCCCCCCCCCCAGACTTTACAGCTACACAAGATTCCCTTCATAAAAATTCTCCTGAGCAATTCCATTTTAAACATTCTCTCTATATATCTAATAGCCAAGGGGCCCCCTGCGTGCGGATATCTAAATCCGCACATCGGGGGCACCTAGGGGGCAAAGAGATTCTCCTGCACATTTGGGACAATCCCCAGATGTGCAGAAAAATCTAAAAAGTTGAAAAAAGTATATGGGGGCAGGAGGGGGTGGGGCAGGAGGGGGTGGCAGCTGTTAGCCACTCAGGCCTCGCTGCTGCTGCGGGGTGGGGAAGAAGAAGGCTTGGCAGGCCGAGCTCATGCCTCGGTGCCGGGGGGAGGAGGAGGGAGAAGGCTTGGTGGGCTGGCGGCTGGGAGCCACGCGGGCCTTGCCATTGGTGCGGGGGCGAAGGGGAGAAGGCTCACCTGCAGCTGCTTCCTTCTCCTCCACGTGGAGCTCCCCCCCGCGAGTATCGCTGGTTTCCCTTCTTGTGGGATTATAATAGTGAGGGAGTCTTCCTGATGGGTCCGTGACAGAGAATGTGTGGGGATGGCGCATTCTCTTGGTTTTACCCATC